GGGGGGGGGGGGGGGGGGAGTGGGCGGACGAAAAAAAACATTCATGCACGCCAATTAATCCTAAAAAATATTAATGCTATGGCCTAAAAAAAATTCATACAAGGAATTTGATACCAAAAAAAATTCCTGCGGCTCGAAAATTCCCCTCCCACCCCACCCACAATTTTTCTAATGGTCTGTCCCTAAGGGACGAACCATTAGAAAACTTATGAGGGGGGGGGGGGGCGAAGTACAAATTCGCGCAAGGGAAAATTAAATGAAAAAAATTCTTGCACGCCAATTAACCCTAAAAAATATTCATGTTATGGCCTAAAAAAGATTCATACGGCTCGAAAATTCCTCTCCCCCCCCCATAACTTTCCTAATGGTCGGTCCCTAAGCGGGAGAAGCCCGGGAGATGTGCGAGGACTTCTTTCCTCACGCTTCTGGTGCACTTCTCTCGATTGCGATCACGTTACTGTCCCAATTATCAAAAATATTTCAGGCCGGCACCCAACGTCAATTTTCGGAAAATATCTGTTCGGAAGATCTAGAATTTTCGGAACATTTGTTGTAAAATTTCTTGCTTGCCTGCCTCTCCTAGGATTTTCGAACATCTAAAAAACTGAAAAAATGGTACAATTGCCCATTTTAACGGATTTTTGCCCTAAAATGTTCACCTAGAATTTTCGGGAACCTTTTTTCTTGCTGAATTTTTCGAGAAGGTAAGTTTCGATCCCTATAATTTTCAGATCACTAGACTCTCAGCTAGGAAATCCGTACCGATGAAAACTTTTTAGGGGATAAAAAATATGCCTTTATCTACCATTTAAATACGAAAATACGTTCAACAATGCTATGTTTAAGTGGTTTTGAACTATATTGTCGTCGGGTGCCCCTAATATTTAACAGGCTGCCAAAGCGTATAAAAACATTGCTGAATACAAATCATCTGGCTAATTGATTCAGTACGTTGCTGTACTGCTTGCAGAGAATGATGAATTCTTTTTCATAAATTTAAGGTGAGTTCTTTTTCCTAAATTTAACTATTACTTTGGTAAAGAAAATTGTTCGTTATACCGTTGTCCCTTTACCCACCCCAAGTAAGCGTTCACACCTTTCCTGGATTCCTGAGAAGATCAACACGGTTCCCTCCTAATAATTCTCTCAGTGAGGACATTGTAATATGTACCAAAATAGTCTTAATGGCCTTTTTTTCTGGCCAACTCTCTGGCTAGAAGGCCAATCCTCAAAATTAGGGCGTGTACAGGAACAGGATATTTGTAGTCAAAGCAGTTGCTGTCAAATGTTTCCAAAATTGATCTCTGAGAGAACCCCTTAGCTATTAGACCTACCGAAACAGTTCTAGGATCACTTTATATTTCCTGCTTCTGATTGGCCATCAAGTATTTTTCTGGCAAATCAGGAGCTAGCAATTTCCTGATTCTTCCTCTTCTGGAGCTGCTTTGGTAACACGTGAGTAAGTAGCCTTGGCATTCTACCTTAAAACTTCCCCTAGGTCGGTTGGCCGTTTTGTTTCGATTAGCTGCAACGCAGAACTTCGTAGGATTGCGACGATTCATGATCAGTAAATAGTTAAAAATCCCCTCTGTTTCATCACCCTAAGAATTACTGGGATTAAAGCCTAGCTACATCTTATTCTAACGTCTGGTCTAAAACAATCTTCCAGGGCGTATATTTGAGGAAGTGGATTACTGTAGCTGATAAAAGATGCCATTGAGGGATTCGACATCATATTTATTCAATTTTGGTTTTCATTGCAGGTTAGTGGTTTATTATTATTAGTTTGACGAACCAGTGTACGCATTAGTTTTTGAGGTGGTCAGATTTACAATAAAACAACACACAGGTTTTCTCTATTTAGTGGTCAGTTGTATTTTCTAAGGTCGATGCAAACGCCACAAACTTCTTTTGGCAGAAACATAACTGACGCACATAGGACCGGCTGTGTTATACTTAGCAGTTGCACTGATGCAGAAAGGCAAGAGCTGTGAGAATAAGGGTTATCACAGAAGCAGTGAGAAATTTTCTGCTAGCTCTTGAAGGCAGCGTTGGGCGCTGGGAGGCCTTTGCAGTTTTGTAGTCAAAATTACATTTGTCTGATTGACAGCTGGCCATCTTGGAGCAAACTGCGCCTTTGTTACCCAACTGGTCGCATGGGTTTTTATCGCAATCCTCGTACAAGCAACAACCTGTGAAACAAGGAATTAGATAAAGTTCATTCGTCAGTTGCATTGTCACTCATTGAATTCAAAGTAACATTATATGCTTACACGTCGTACGTCCAACGCGAACCCGAGGAAGGTAACTGAGCCGTGTTGGCATGGAACCGAACGTGATTTAACGTCTGCTTTTTCCTTGCATTTTAGTTGCCTTTGCGTTGCGCCGCGCTCATCACTCGCGAGAAACTCGTCTGACGTTTCACCCCTAAATTTGCTTGAGGATAATGAAAAAAAGTTATATTTTTTAAATTATACTGGTCTGACTTGACCACAAAGAAGTTTTTGTTACTTTAAAGATATTCTAGTGTCCACGAAGAACGCCGATGAATTGAAAGTCATCGCCTTGATTAAGGACATTTTCTTTCCAATAAAATGACTTTCTTACATTATCATGACGAAAATGAAAAATCTACCTGACTTGCCCTTTTGCAAAGTTACAGTATATAAAATCGCCCTTGCCTTTAAACTCCTGGACCGTATCAAATGAGGTGTAATTTACTGTGTAAATTTGACAGGCGTAGACTGAACGAAAATGAAAAATCTACCTGACTTGCCCTTTTGCAAAGTTACAGTATATAAAATCGCCCTTGCCTTTAAACTCCTGGACCGTATCAAATGAGGTGTAATTTACTGTGTAAATTTGACAGGCGTAGACTGAGTCCGGCATGAAGGGGCTTTCACATTCCACTGTTGCAGAGCCGGCAACCTTACAGCTGGGCACCGAACCACCACAACGATGACACGTGATCGACCAAGCTGGGACCAAAACATAAAAGGTGAAGTCTTATTAGGCATAATTGCTAGAAATGCTAAACTAATATCAATAACTTGCTTATTTTTTTCAAGGAATATAATGAATATATGCTGGTGAAAATAACCTCCAACCGTGCTGTTGGAAATTTAACAAACGAATATCGCCGAAACCGTTCTTCGAAACTGGATAGGAATACAAAGTTCTGTATATTGATTTTCAACCGTCAGAAAGGAAAGAAGATTACGTAAGAATCAAGGACAGAAGACCTCTTTGCCATCTATGGGAAAAAAAATGCCAATGCCCGAAGGTTACCCCTGGGGGTCATGGGCGCACCCGGAATAGACTGATGCATAACAGGAGTGACTTTGACCAATTTTGGTGCTACCGTTATCTCACAAGACAGACGGACGCCCGCTGCTATAATTTCTCTAATAAACATGGCGATACCGAAAACCAAGCGCCTTTACGGTCCACTGACCGCCCGCACCTAATACAAAGTACCAAAAATAGTACAAACTCGAACTCAAGCTCCTATGCATTCTAGTCAGGAAAAACACTGGCACAGCCCTCTGCCCCTTTTTCTCCTTATTCACTATTCCTAAGTGCATTGTAGAGTAAGCAAGCAAAATTGCCAAAACCATTGTAAAGCAAGCAATATTGAAAGGTCTGTCTTTCTGCCCCTAAATGTCAAGTCTTATTGATAACCAAGCACGAAAATCGACGATAGGGCATCAGGGCTAGGAGAGCATCCAGATTAAGCTCCTGAATTTCGCGGTCGTTGAGCCGACACGATGTCTCCACCACGGACCTATGGAACGTTTGAAGTTCAGTCGGATATGTAAATTGTACATGTCGTCAATAATGAATTTCCAAAAATGCAAACGAAGGTGAAATTCATTCCATTGTTTTCTTAACACTAGTTAGTGAAAATGGACTTGTCCAAATTACTGACTAAGCCTCAGTAAAGTATTATTTCGCAACTGATGAAAAACATTTTAAAAATGTTCTTCATAAAAATTGTTTTTCCTAGAAAAATTGGTTGCGGTAAAATACATGTAATTTGCCTGAATGTTTCTTTCCGTTAATGAAGCTAGGGCAAACATGTGACGTTTTCATAGAACTTACTCCTTTTAATTTCTGATATTTCTGAATTTATTTCTCCTCTTAGCAGTGTCATTCTCAAAACATAATAGGTAACAACTTTTCCTTAAAAAAGGGGAAGACAGTTTAGTTTGTCGTCTGGGTGGGATAAGACAGCGAGTGTTGAGGTTCTTAAAACATGTATGATTTTAAAATATCAAGGATGCCATATTATAAACATTCTATCTTTAAATTATTTTGTCATTTGCTCTTTTGGAAACTGGATAAATGAAAGAAAAGAAAATCTCATAAAAGGGTTAACTTCTTCTTCTAGTGAGCGCTATAATTGTATCAATTGCCGAGACGTACTTTTTGAGAGCAATGCAGCCAAGGCGAGGCTAATATTCTAATTCATAAATAGCGAAAAATGGCCTCGCCTTCTGCTTATCTCGGCATACATATGAACTGTAATAAAACGAACCCGTACCTTTCGCAAAAAGAGCAACGCCGACGACGATGATTAGCAGCAACTTCATCTTCATCACTTTCGTCAGTTGGCTTGGGTTTTATACAGCCGTGTTTTTACGTTGGGTAGTAACATTGATAGTTAGAGTTTCACAGCTGTGTTTACTCAGATCTGTGATAAGTGTCATCGACGGCAACAAGAGCTTTGACCTAGTCCTACTAGTCCGTTGTACGATTTGCTAACCCTGATAAGGGGAGACCGCTATAAAAGGCTGAAAAGGACCCTTTTTATAGTTCTCCCCTTTTAGATCGACTGTTCGAGTTGAAATCGAAATATTGAAAAGTGCTCCGTAAATCGTTGTGAATTTTCAATTGTTTTATTTTGTCATTTTATTTTATTTTTTTGAATCTTTTACGGGTCACTATTTCAGTAAGTTATGATTTTATTATTATTTACCAGTGTCCTTGTTCTGACGGTTAGCAAACGTTTATTTTGAGTGTCGAAATAAAGTCCTTTCCAGCTGATAAGAATAAACCTGTTAACGACAGTTCTAAGCAACATTACTGACTTTTTTCTATGGGGGATCGGGACGAGCCTAAATGTCAGTTGCCGGTCAGTCTTTCAAGCATGTTATCCGATAAGCTCTCAGTTAACCCAGGAACCAATCTGGGTTGTCAGTAAAATTTTTGGATATTGCCTTTTTGTCAGCTGTCGGATAAAATTTAAGACGTTTGTCAGTTATCATCAAACCTCACTCTGACCCTCCAGTGTGGACCCAGCTGCACGCCGGGATACATGGCTTTATCCCCAGTACTGACCAAAAGGCAGGACATGGATGAAGAGTCGTGGATGAGAGGACAACAGACGTGCCCTCTTACAATACATTTTAACATGTGAAGAGTAAGCTCGGACGTCAGCATACAAAGGTGCCATTGGCAGCTGCTCTCAGTCCATTTATGAGCCAGGAGCAACTGTACCCACCCAGCCCATGATGTGAATGATGTAATGTGTGTAGGTTGAACACAACATCGGGGTCTACGTCCCCTACTCTTTTCGAACAGTGGTGTGGGTTCTTTTACGTCCCACAAGAACCAGATAAGTGTAAGTGTTGTGAGAAGGGACCTACGGTTTTAGAAAGTCTAACCGTTTGCAGATGTCATTATAAAGGCAGCACTTTCTTCTCAGTTATTTAAAGACCCTGAGCGTTGGTCCGGCCGGGGTTCGAACCCAAGACCTCCCGCTCAGCAGACCGGCGCTCTCCCAACTGAGCTAACCAGGCGGCGGTTAAAACATGAACTTTTTAAACGTTTGTGGCCACTTTAATTCCCCTTTTTGGTGTTCACACCCCCACGGCACATACACGGCAACTATCATAGTTCGTCAAGAAACCAATATTTTCAATCAGTTTGTTTGGTATCTGATTTGTCCAGGATCTTGATAGCCATAACAAAGTTTCCCCATAAACAAAATTCACCAAAATACTTATAATTCGGTCAAATATAAAGTAAGTGTGAAAATAAGAAACAACGCAATCCT